CTTCAACCCCTCCATCCCTCCCTATTTACAAAGACTTTGTTTCCATTTTTTCATTTTCTCATATTAATTCCATTCCCTTCTTTCCTTTCCGCTACCCCTTTCAAAAACCTTTACTCTTGAGTTATGTAGATGTGTTTTTTAATTGAGTTTGAGGTTAATGAAGGTGATTTTTCTTTTATTGCTTTTTCTTTGCATGATTCTTTTTTAATATGCATGCATCCATGTCCTTTGCCATAACTGAAGCAGACTATCTTGTTTCTATGTAGAAGTCAAGAAGAAAGCCAGTTACATCACTCCAGTCCCTGGGGGCGTTGGTCCCATGACAGTGGCAATGCTAATGAAGAATACCATTATTGCTGCAAAAAAAGTGTTAAGGCCTGAAGAGAGGGAAGTGCTGAAGCCTAAAGAGCTTGGAGTAGCCACCAATTAACTGTGTCTGCCATGCCATGAACAGTATTTTAAGCCAGCCAAGAAGCAATGCAGGCCAATAGAAATGCAAGACTTTTATTTATTCTGCTGAAATGGTTTAAAATATGCTTTGTATTTATTAAAAGCTTAAGAGGGTCGTTGTGTGTGCACATGGCTTTGCAGTATTTGCCAGGAACACTCCAGGGTCATGCTGGGTCATGTGATCCAGCCAAAAGGAGCCATTAACTTAGTGATTAAACGTGGGCGATACTGTCACCTTGAGAATGGATGTTTAATTTTGTCAAGTCACTTAAGTTAAAAATCTGCCTTTTCTAGAATTTCATTTCCTAAGTGCTATTCCAATAAGAGTTGATACTCATTTTAGGTTCTAAACCTTTTGAGATCAACTAATCAAACCAAAGGAAAAATTTTGCTAGAGAAGATCAGGAAAAAGGTGAAAAGGAAGAAATGGTGGTAATTGATTGGGTAGAGGAAGGAAATTACCTTAATTTCTGTACATACTGATCGGTAACCAAATTTATCTGAAGAGAACCGAATTGGCTGAGGATAAAGAAAAACTACATGTTACTGGTTGTCTTTTTGTGACTTAGTCATTGGGGAAATGTTTAGGGTTGTTCCATTTGCTGCTGCCCCCATTTTATGTACATTACCCTTTAGTGAGTTCTCCCCATTTTAGTTTTCTAAGATTGAAAAGCTTGTTTTGTAAGTTGTTTGTGTGTATTGTCACATTTGGCTTTTGCTGTATCCTTAAACATCATTGTTCAATTTTTGTATTGTTAGGGTTGTCTGTCCGGTTTCTTTGGTATACCTTGAAATCTATTTTTGAAAAACAAAACTTGGGCTTGATAATCATTAAGGCAGCTTGTGTAAGTATGCAACTTAACTTTTCCACCAAAGAACTGTCAGTAGCTGCCTGCTTTTCTTTCATGTACCCTGTTGGCTTTCCTTCCTGAAAGATTTTTAAGAGCTTGAGTTAATATTGAATTTAATTAGACTTTGTGATAAAGGGTGGTTTTTTGGTAAAATAAAACATCTGTGAAATGAGTTTCTGAAGTACTGTCTTCCTGTTATCTTATGTGTGACCTGATTTTTTTCTCGTTGGATATAATCAGTCTAGTTATTACTAGACATTTGGTAACACCCAACCTATGACCTTAAACGAACTGGCTTAAAGAACTATGGTGAAACTAGCCTGGTCCTTTCATATCCCAACAGGAAGTGCCAAGCTAGTTTAATCTCAAGATTTAAGTGATTCTGAGTATTTTTAAAACCATGCATTCAATTTACAAATTGCTACAAAGGATCTACAAAGAATTTTCCCCTTGCCAGGTTCTCATCTCAGCACATACACACACACACACACACACACACACACACACACACACACACCAATGAATATATACAAGGTGTGGTCAAAATATATGAAGAATGTTTACTAAAATTTATTACAGTAAAAGACACATTGCCATTTATCCATCCCCCAAACCTCCCCTCATTTTGATTGCATTTATCCCACTGTTCTTGTCACTTTCTGAAGCAGTTCTGGAAGGTCTTTTTTTGTGTCTTTATAAAGTATAGTCAAAATATTGTGAATGCTGCTTCCATATCCAACAGAAACGCAGACCTGTAAAAACATGATGTGTCCTCATTCACCTTATTCACTGGATCCGGCACCATGCAACTTCTGGCTCTTAAAGTCAAAATGACCACAAATGGAAACATTCTGAATCTATTCAGGACATCCAGGCAGCCAAAACAGTGCAACAAAAAGAGGACTTGCAGAACTGCTTCAGAAAATGGCATGAATGATGGGATGTGTGTGGATGTGGGTGCGTATTTTGAGGGGAGTTAATGGAATGTGTCTTTTACTGTAATAAATGTTTTCTAATTTAAATATTTTTTCAATCATGCCTTGTATATCTCTCCTGTGTGTATGCACATGAGTGTGTAAAATGTGTTTGCTCTGACAGATTGGAAGGTGTTTGCTGTGCATATTTTGAGGCTGGGATAGGTCCCTGTGTATTCTCAACCAAAGCTGTGTATCTGGGCTTCACACAGGAAGAAGTAGCTTCTGCTCTTGGCAGCTTGAGGCAGAAACGAGAAACATTGGTAGGTTGATCTACTTTCTTGTTCCTCTGCCAGCTGGCTTTAATCTTTGGAAAATCTGCTGGACATGTTTTTATGAGATACAGCTCATGTCTATATGCCACACCTACTCATGTAACCTGCATTATTAAAAAAGATGAGTGGACAATTAAATTTTATTGAATTATAGTTACATTAAAAGTGGAAAAAATTACTAGTTTTCTGCATGGAGATGTAACAATATGTCACCCTGTTAAAAGCCATTGAAATTTAAATGCTTGTGTATATACAAAATATAAATGATATATAAGGTAAAAATTACACAGATCAATTTACAACAACAGAAAAACTAGCTTTTTAGTTCTCCAGTTTGTTTGATTAATCCAAGCACATTTACTCCTGAATCCATATAACATTTCTACAATCTAGACAAAGTCCTATTCCAAATCAGCCAGGCTTGAAATCTGAAGTGTTCAGGTGGGATTGTTAGCTTCCCTGTATTGGTGCAAAGGACAATAAAGAATTTATACTTAAATTTGGGATGGTTCTGCTATCAGGAGTGATAGAGGCTTAGAGCTTTGCCTCTTGGCAGTACCCCTTGGAACAGAGCTCTGAGACTGAATTTTGTGAATGCTTACTGAGAACATTTTATGGACCAGGTACTCTGCTAGGCTCAACATTACAGAGCTACCTGTTCTTGTATCAAGGTACTAATGATCTAGTGTCATTTCTCTTAAAAAAAAAATGAAAAAGTGTCTGTATTTGTCATCTTCAGTAAATGTAGAAACTAAACAATGTGATTTACTCAAGATTCAAATCCATAGTTGTTTTAGAGAAAGAAAATGTTAGCTGTTTTGTGGCTATCAGGCAGTAATAAGTGTTACATAAATGGGGTACTAACAAAATGTGAATTGAAAATAAAAATGTCTAATCTTAAATTTCCTGGGGAAAGGCTTTGCTTCATTAACAGCTGGTTTTAATCTACCCAAATTGCTTCCAATCATTACTCTAAAGTACTAGTTTGATTAACATTGCAAAGTTACAATCTTCTAAAATGTTAGCTGCCTAATGTAATGTTCATATGAATACAGGTTTGACTTTGGGTATCAGGCACTGAAAATTTGAAGGAAGGACCTACCCAAAAGCAGGAAGAAATTGATTCCAGGTATGAAATATAATATAAATTAAAGGGTCATTTTGTTGATCTTACACATGGTTTGAGATTTCACTTTAATAAGGATGATTTTATTTTAAAAACATTTATCCACTCACAGACATTTAGGAGTGGCTTTTCATTCTGGAATAGTTTCAGTCACATTGCTAGTCAAGGATCCTTAATGTAGATGGTTTAAACTTAGCAGAATGAGATGGGAAGAAAAGATGGGGCCTTTTCAGCCTTTCTTAATATGCAAATTTGCAAAATAAATATTTCAATATTGGTCTATTGATATAAGAGTTTGTTTTTTTCTTTTGAGACTGAGTCTCATTATACAGTTCAGGCTGGTCTCAAACTTGGAATCCTCCTGCCTCAACATCCCAAATGCTGGGATTATAGGTGTGTGTCACCACACCTGGTGTAGGAGTGTTTTGAGTTCTTTCAAACTATCTAGATTTCAATTTAAAATTTTTAATTGATATTTGTTTTAAATATAAATTAACTATTGCCCATTCATGTTAAGATTTTGGCAAATATGCATTTTTTTCATATTAAATGTCATTTCTATGTTGGACTGCATTTGAAAAATAAGGTATGATGTTTACCTTCCAGTATTTTGAAACCTTTTTTTTTTGGTACCGGGGATCGAACTCAGGACCTTGCGCTTGTGAGGCACACAGCGGAACCACTGAGCTAAATCCCCAGCCCTACCTTCCAGTATTTTAATAATTCCAAAGAAAGGGGAGAGCTTGGCATCTAAGGAGTACTTTTCACTGAAAGATTTTCAGTTTTCTATTAGCCGAAAGGACTCACTCCATTCAGTAAGTAAGGGCACAGGGACAGCGAGGTTAAAGTTGACCCCGACTCTCACAGCTGAGACTATACGAGGCCTTCACCCTGTCCCCAGTCTGGGAGAAGCTGCATCATCCTAGAGAGTGGTCTCACCGTCAGCCTCTCTTACATACTCATCCACATCTGTGAAGTCATAGTCAGACTCCATCTCTATCTTCACCTGTGGCACCATGAAGACGGGGTTCCGTGAGTAACTGAAAGCAGGTGAAGCTGGACAGGAGATTTTGAAGTGCAAGGTGATGCTGAACAGGAGAAAAGTAGGAAAGAAGAATGATTATCTAGCTTTTTGAGTGTTTTAAACACAATGTCCAGAGCAGCGCTCTAATGCAAGTAGTTCTGTCTTGCTTATTAACTTTCAATGCATCACAGGAACAAAGTGTCTGATCAGATGGGCTTTGGCCAGTCATTGAACTGTTCTGGCTCTGTTTCAATCTATTTTTTTTTTTGGTACCGGGGATAGAACTTGGGTCCTTGAGCTTTTGGGGCAGGCGGCGGAACCACTGAGCTAAATCCCCAGCCCTGTTTCAGTCTATTTTTAAATCACTGCCAAAGTGAACTTTCTAAATCACAAATGTGACTGGTTTCCCCGCTGTTCAAAGGACAGAACCCAAGCTCCTTAGCAGAGCAAGAGAGGACTTTCTCTGCTTGAATTCCTCCCTACTTTCCAAGTTTGATTCCCACCCATCCCTGTATTTGCTCTTTTCCCTGTGTTTCAGTTTCAGGCCTGTTCTCCCTGGCTAAAATGCCCTTTCCTCCTTTGCCCACTCCGTCCATCTGGCAGGATCCTACCAATTGTTCTAGATTCTCCAGAGAAGGTAAATCCCTCCCTTAGACCACTGACCTTTCTCTAATGTGTGCCCATTATTGTTCTTGCACTCAGTGCTCCGTGCCTTCGCTTATATGTCCTTCTGCATCCCCAGGGACCAAGCATCTGGTCCGGTAGGTCCTGGGTACTTAATCTTTGTTAAACTAGATCATGTTGCTGAGGCTTTTTGTTCACTAACGTGAAATCCTGCTATTTAGTGATCTTTATTTCCATCTAGTATTTTCATAGGTTTGGTAAAATATCCATGTGGTTGGGTAGCACCATTTCTAATTACCAAATTTTCTGCATTTCTGATCTTGTCCTAGGACTTTGTGTAATTTAGTAGGTTTTTGGAATGATGTGTTCTGGTCCAAATTCTCTCTCCACTGCCTCAAACTGGGGCCATGAGAGATCTGATTTAGTGCAGGTTATTTTTTTTAGATAAAAATAAATTAGATTAGACAAGCTACTTTTCTCCTACCAGGTATATATAAAGATCAGTGGCATTAAAAGCACAGGATCCCTGACTCATGTGGAATGAGAAGGAACATAATTTGTGTTTTTTTAATATGAAAAAGGAGAAAAGCTATATTTTTGATCATGGTTTCAGAGGCTTCTGTGCATGGTCACTGGGACGCCAAGTGTACTTCTCTCCCTCTTTTTCTATTTACTCAGCCCAAGCTCACTGTGCAGAGCCAGTTTCTCTCCCACTCTTCATTTTTGCTTTCTTGAATAAACTTTGCTGCTGTCTTTTGTCTGTTTCATTCAATTCTTTGTTCAATGTGAGAAGAAGCTGGAATCTGACTCCAAAAGGAGAGGTGAGCAACCCAGAACCTGGGAACATCTAGTTGGCAAACCACATTTTAGAGACTTTCTAGAGCTACCCAATGACAAGTTCAAGGCCAGCCTGAACTACACAGTGAGACCCTGTCCCCAAAAATAAATAAACTGTAATAAATTGCTCAAGCTGGGCATGAACTTGTGATGCTCCTGCCTCAGCCTCCCAGAGTGCTGAAATTACAGGTGTGCACCACCACACCCAGCTAATCCATCCTTTCACGACCCTGTTTCAAAGTTTTTTAAAAAAATTAAAGGCTAGAGATGTAGCTCAGTGTGAAAGCCCTGGGTTCAATCCCCACCACAAATGAGTAAAGAAAGAAGCCAAGTGTGGTGGGGCAAATCTGTAATCCTAGCACTCTGGAGGATGATGCAGGAGGATTGCCTGGAGTTTGAGGCCAGCCTGGGCTGCATAATGAGTTCAAAACCAGCTTGAACTATATACCAAGACCCTGTCTCCAAAAACAAGGGAAAGGCAGGGAAAGAAAATGATGAACAGCAGGTAATGTCAGTCACATTACCCCAAATTGTGAAGACCACACATGTTGCTAAAAAAATTCATTGGCTTCCCCACATTGGGTTATTTTCCTCCAGCACTTTTTTTTTTTTTTTTGAGACAGGATCTCACTATGTAATTCCGGCTGGCCTTAAACTTGAGCAGTCCTCCTGCCTCAGACTCCCAAGTGCTAGGAGTCACAGGTGCACACCAACATGCCAAAAATTTTAAATTTTTAAATTTTATCTACCTCACTAAGACAAAAATATCATTTGCAAAGTACTCACTGAAACTGGGTGATACAGTAAGGAGGTTTAAAAACTTTTGGTGATTTCATATGTAAAAGGCATACAAAAACTTGTCCAGGGCCAGGGATTTAGCTCAGTGGCACCCCACCTGCGTTGCAAGCTCAAGGTCCTGAGTTCGACCCCCAGTATGGAAAAAAAACCCAAAACTTGTCTAAATGGGCACTTCTATGTTTCTCAAAATTTCCAGCCTGGGGATATCTGAACCTGAATTTTGAGCCATCCAAAGTGCACCTAGATGGAGAAGCGGGGCCAGGCCTGGCAGCCCACATCACCTCAAGTCCCACCACCTCCCTGGTCCTGGGATTTTTCATCTTGCAAATGAAGTATTTCAGTGGTAATGTTGTTCAGTTGAAATGGAACAGTACCAGGAGGAGACCAAAGCTGGTGATTTTACTCAGGACTTCAAGGTTTACTCTCAAGCTACAGAATGAAGACTGTGGACCCCCACCTAGTATACTCTTTGTCTTGGTGTTGTACCTTGCTTGTGATGCCAGCTATATGACTGCATTAATATGGGGAAACACATAGGACCGTGATCCTAGCAAGGGTGAATTTCATTGCATATAAACTATGCTTCCATAAACCTCTAGTGCAGCCGGCCCCAGTGGCAGCCAGCCATTGCTGTCGCTGCTACGCAGTTCCCTCGTGGTTCCCACCGAGAGGGAACATAATTTGACATGTGACATTTCTGGAGTTGGGCATCAACAGGCCAGCTCAAGGAGGGTTGAACTGGTGATAAGTTTACTCACCCTTGCATTTTAACAGCAGGAGATCATAAATTCAGGAGATCCTGAAAAACTCGTGGGTGGGTGCCATCTAAGCCTGGAGATTTACCTGCCACTAGTCTTCGGGTAGCCTGTGCTCTTATGAAGTTTGATCTAGGACCAAGTGACTTGTTCATTCTAGGGCACATGGTGAGGGGTGGAACTGCCTCTACTAGCTTCCCTAGTGATAACAGAGGCAAAAACTTTCTTGCCTCTGAATTCTTAACTTTTGAGTCCCCTTGTGTAATCAACTAGTGCCACTTTTTATCGTGGGTGGCTTTTCATCAAGAAGAGCAAGAAATCACATTGTTGGCTTAGAGGCTTCTGCAGTCTGGGACTTGAATCCTTCCTACTTCCACATAATCTTTGGTTTTTAGTTAGTTTTCCTTAATACCCTTAAAGGCCATTGATAATTAACTCTATTGTTATTGTATTCCACAAAGTGTTAGAGTACCTGGAATTTTGATCCTCGGTATACATTTATCCTGATTTTCATTAGTATATACTTAAACTATATGTAATTTTCTTCTATGCTATTTCTTTTTTAAATATTTGATTTCAACATTCTTTGTAATATTTTGCAATAATTTCCTTTTCTAAAATCGAATGACTGTATATTGTAATTATGTTGTTGATGTCAGTAAGGAGGAGACTCATTTGTAACTTGACTCTATTGACCAGATTGGGCAGCCTTTGTCTCCCAGTTGGTGGGGCAGCAAAGGCTTCCTACTGGGGTATCAGCTATCCTGGGAACTCTGGTTCCTCTACCTTTTGGTCCTTGCTTAGTCTCATGTAAAATCCAACAAGACTACCTAACAGCCTTTACCTTCGATCCAGTTCTGAGCCAGTGAAGGAAGAATCAGAGTGAGTAACTCCAACTGGAAGATCTTTTTCCTGGCAGGAAAATTAAATGTCAGAGGTGAAACAGGTTTGAGTAGTATCCTGGAGAACATCCTAGTTCTTCAGTGTCTCCCCACCATTTCTTTTCTATTCTCTAATCCTTTGGCAACACTATACAAGAGGAATGCTGAGGCCTTCAGAGATGAGTGGCTTCTGGCTCAATCCTTCACACAGCTCGGTCAGGAGCAAGTGAGTTGTGGGAAGGGCCAGGGAATAGAAAGAATTATGGAAGGAAACTGAAGGCAGTGGGGTGGGAGAATGAGGAACTTGAAAAGATCAAGATGTACTATGATGGAGGGTGGTGACAGGAAGTCCTCAAGGGCCCTTGATGGTGCTGGTGAGATCTCCTGGTGACTCACCCCTAATCTCCATCTTTGAGGACAGTGGAAAGCCATATAATAGGAATATCAGGGCCTAGACTTGTGTTGGGATTTTTCAGAAAACTCCCAGGACAGACTCTGTGGTGTTGATGAGAGGGTCATCATGACATCAAGCTGGGAGGCATTAGAGGCAGATACAGAATTTCATGGGGTCATAAACAATGTCTGACCCCTCCAGGCAGCCTTTCTTTCAGCATATGTAGGGGGCTTGTGAGTCATAGAGGCCAGGACCTTCAGTTTCAATTTGTCATCCAGATGCCTGTTTTTCTAGGGGAAAGCTCGGCTCTGATCTAAGCTTACAATCATTTCAACAACCCCTGAAAAACATGGATGGCTCTGGGGGACATGTTTGGACTGATATGGCCTGAAACAATGCAGCAGAGGGCGGGGGTGGGGTGGGGTGGGGGTGGGGGGTACACCAGGCACCAGAGGAAGAGCATCAATGAGGAGTCTGGGCTAAATTAAAGTGAAAATCAATGAGAGGAACCTATAGGGTGATGCTTTGGGGTTTCCATCTGGTTGGAGTCCCAACCCTCATGGCCCAGTCCTCTTTGATCTGTGCCTAGCACAAGTTTCCCCTGAGTTACAGATGGGAATTCCTAGGGTAATAGATGGAGGATTAGTAATAGTGAGGAGGAAGGGGGATACACCATGTGTTTTACTTACTGGCAATGCAGTGGATACCATTTTGGGGATCTGATGGGACACTTTCCATGGGGATCTTTATAACTGAGGGAGGAGGGAACTGGGGCTGGAGAAAAACAGTAGGAAAAGCTGATGAACACACCAACACAACCACTTTGGCTTTCTTGCCAAGTTGGAAAATTCATACATCCACAGTGTGCAAACCACCATCCCTTTCACCTCCAGACTAAACAGTGGGGGCAAGTTGCTGCAAACATTCTGGGGCCCACTGGGAGGAAATAGGCATAGTGAACCCACAGGTCTAGACACCCAGCAGACAGGAAGGAACTCATCTAGGAATGTCACTTCTCAGAAGAACTTCATATGTTGTGTCATCAATGAGTTGGGTATGAACCTCATACAAGAGCTGTGCTGTTATAAAGACATGTAAAATAAATTTGTGTAAAATGAATCCCATGATTATCATATAATCTAAGAGAGACTTTTTTCCCATCAAAATAGTTCTAGACATGTGGGAACCATTCAAATGAACAAATGAAAGAGTATTTGTCTTCAAAAATACTTGTGTCTGTTTTTAGAATCTGCCTTTACAAATTATCTAAAAATATATATATATATACATATATATGTATACATATGAATGAATTATGGTACTCTCTCCTTCCAGGAAGAGGACAGCAATTAAGGACCAGGGGAAATTTGGCCAATCACTACCATCAGAGGAAGGCTTAATCACCACTGAACAGTCAGCAAGGGTTCCAACTCTTCGAGTTTGTGAATAGCTTTCATTTGCAAAAGGCAAGATTGCTAGGAGAACACAACAAAGTAGATAGAGAGTTGTATGTCTGGGTCAAATTGGGAAAGTGGGAGAGAAGCATGATGTTAGGAGATGGCATGGACAGCTCAGTATATTGGAAATCAAGAGTGAAGGTCAGGGAAGATTTTCTTAATACCATCAGTGTCATCATTTGTAATGAATGTGTGAACCAGACAATCTTTTTGCCTAACATTTTGAGATATACTATAACTTCTGGACTGGCTTCTTGTCCGTTGACTCCCTGAGTGTTTTGGGGGTGGGTTGCAAAAGAGGCAAGGAAGAGGAGATGGGGAGACAGGGCAACCAGTAGTTCCAGGCATCTGGGAAATAAAACCATTCTCCCTCCAGTCAGAACACTTGCCTCTTCCTCACCTTCATCCACAATACTCTCCAGACAATCCCAAGCAAAGCTTGTGCCCAGCCCCTCTTGCCTGTTCTGAAGTCAAATCTGCCTGTAAGTCCCCATCATACCCATTCCCCTGGCCTGCTCCATTATTTGGAGGCATTCTTTATATCTGCTTCTCATGTTGGAGTCATCTCCTGTCCCATTCCTTCAGGGACCTGTGCTGCTATTGAAAATGACCCCCAAACCCATAGGAATAAGAGAATGGGCTTGACCAGTCAACTGTTTCCTGGACAAGGAGGCCCATCCTGAAGACAGTCACAGGAACAGATGAGCTCTGAGCAGCCCAGACCAAGACCAGCAGAAGCCCCAGCTCAGCCTAGACTGGGTTCACACATTGCTGCAGGCCCCCTGAGAAGCCACTCTTCCTTGGCCCTGGCAGAAATGGAGGGAAGCTCTCTTGATCGCGCCCTCTGCCCAAGCCTCACATCTTCCCCACCTCCTCGTCACTGTCCTCATGGGCTCCTTTCCTTTTCTTTTTATCTGTCTCCTTTTTCTCCTTCTCTGGGAGGATATTGTCAATCCAAGCCAGATCATGCTGGGAGAAGATGAAGTCCAGAAGCCTTCGAACAAAGATGAGGCCCAAGATCTGTGATGGGAAGACAGAGAAGGCTAAAGTTTTGTGGGAGTTCAGAGAGAACTGTGGGTTAAAAAGTTTTCTCCCTCAGCATAGTTTTTTTTCCTACAGTAGGTCCTTTTGTGATCAGTCTTTGGAGCCATTCCAAAGTCCCCATATGCCATTATTAACCTACCCACTCCCATCTTACTTCCTCTCATCTGGTCTTTTCTCAGAACCGCAATTTTTTTTCTTTTTTGAGACAGTCTGGCTATGTAGTTCAGTATGGCCTCAAATTTGTAGTGATCCTCCTGCCTCAGCCTATAGAATAAACATTATTGTAAAAAAATTAGTGGGAAGGGTGCAATGGTCTGCTCTGTCCTGGTTGTAACCTGTGTCACTCCTTCACCTTTCTGTGCCTTAGCCTTCTCATCTGTAAGAGGGAATTAATATCAGTACTTCAGGAGCTGGTATAGATCAACTGAGATAGTACTCAGTAAATGCTAAAAGTTAACTATTATTATCCTTCCCGCTCTAAAGCTCATGAGGACCCAGTTGGGGAGGATCCACTTCCCTTTCCACGGAGTGGGGATTCTCAGCCCTGGCTACATATTTACATTTAGCTGTAGACTTACTTAAAATATCAAAGCCTGTGCTTTCCCAAGAGATTCTGATTTAATTGATTTGTGTTGGTTCTCATAAGCAGCTGACTAGGGCCCTTCCAAGAGCGCACATTTCAAGATTTTACTGTGGCCCCTCATCCAGGCCTGCAGGCAATCAGGGAGCATTAGGCCCCATGCTCCAGACCTCTAGCATGGACTGGACCCGCTTCCCTCCCATGGGATTACTTAAGGGGTCAAATGCAACACAGTTTTGGCTTTTTACAGCCTTTTAAAATTATGGAATAATTTCAAGCTTCCATAAGAATTCTAAGAATAGTCAAAGAACTCCTATCTATATATCTTTCCCCAGCTCAAATTTCATATTGTCATTAGGTTTTGAGGTTCTTGATCTGTGACCTTATTTCCTACCCCTTTATTTTTTCAAACTTAGCTATTTTGCATGGTGAGAAGATTTATACTTAGTATGCATCTCCTTCTTAGGTCTGCTTGAATTTTGGCAGTGGGGACTTTCTAGTCCCACTTCTACCTCCTCATCCCCAGCCCAAGAGTTTAGATGGTTTTGCCCTGAGCTCAACATGTGGGTCCCTCCAGGGTCTAGGTGCCACACAGAATTCTTTACCCTGCCCTCCTGTCCATTCTCACTGCACACCAACTGGCCAGGCCTCACAACTTGCCCTGTGTCCAGTTTCTTCAACCAGACAGAACCAGGACATCAGTGGGGAGAAGGCAGAGGGCAATGGAAGGAGAGGCTGGGCCACTGGACCTTCCAGAAAATGCTTGTCCACACCAACCCACTGAACAGGAAGGGAGGCCCATGCCCACCTTACCATGACTGGGAAGATGATGGCGGCCACAGTGGACTTAAGGATCCAGAGTACAGCCAGGCAGAGGATCTGCACCAGGGTGAAGAGGTGGATGCGGCGCAGGGGCACATGGCGCAGGAAGGCATGATCTGGCTGGTGCTTGGCAGGCATCAGAAAGAGCTTGCAGCGCTCCCAGAACTGGCAAGGAGAGTGACGGTCTCAGCCAAGGAGCTAGCCCTGGGAGGTGCTTGGTGGGGTCTCAGAGAGAGAGGTAGTGGGGCAGATATACAATGAGGGAGAAGGGGTGCCTGTCCCCAGTTGAGTGAAGAGGCCCTGGAGATGGTCTCAAAATAAACATGGTCTATATTCAAGGAAAATGCAACTGAACACAAACTACCCAAGAAGTCCTAGGATTTTTATAGTAGATATAGAATAAAATATTTTCTTTTGCAGAGTTGTCTTAGGCAAATGCTCATTGGAGTTAGCTTGATCTGGGTTTTGAATTCTGAGCCTCAGCTTCCCCACTGATAGAAATGGGGATCCAAGGACCTAATTATAGAGATTAAACACCTGTGAAGTACCTAGCATAGTTACTTTGCCTGGTCATGGTAAATGGTGGTACCATCATTGCTATGAGTCTTTTACTGAATTGGAAAAGTAATCATTTGGGGTCTTCATTAGAACTACACTTGGAGTGTTGACTGAGGGTCACAGCAGCTGGGTAGGGGACAGCCTCACCTGGATGCCATTCAGGGAGGCCACACCCATGTAGAGGAAGACTCCGTACAGAACCGGCATAGGGATGTACTGAAATGAAAGCAGAGTTCTGGATTGAGTCTCTGCTTTGGGTGGGAACCTTGACCACCCCACCCTGATCTAGATAAAGGTGTTTGCCAACTGAAGAGGCAGCCAGGAGCTGAACATTTGGAGGAACTGAGGCCTGAGAGCAGATCTGGAGCCACTGAGTGGGTGGGTTGGGAAATGAGGGCCACTCAGGTGCCACTGCTCCCTGCTCTAGGAGGGGTGGGGAGCCACTCACACAGCTGCTCCCCAGATTGGCCCCTATCCCAGTCCTGTGGAAGCCATGTGGTCTGGCTGAAGACCCTCCTTCTGGAAGATGGGAAAGCTCCACAGACTGCACTGTGCTTATGCCTTCCAGCCCCTTCCCACCTCCAACCTCAGCTGAGGGCCCCCAAAGTCACTGAGCTGTAGGGAGCTGGGGGCCTTTAGTGAGCTGACCTACATCAGCAGGGAATACCAAGGACACTTAAAATCACCCATCATGCGCATGAGATAAAAAAAGAAGACAGAAATATATAAACTAACAATCAATAATCATCAACAAACCTTCCTTCCAAACATGCACACCAGCAGTTTGTTTGCTTTTTCAAGAACTAGATACCATTCATACTGTCCTATAATCATTACTCCAAATCTTAAAAGCCTTTTGAAGTATTTCTCCTTTGTCTGACGAAGCTGTATTTCTGCTCCTTTCTCCTTTTCATTACTGGTACCTGATATTCACCCCTGTGCATAGAGGCTGCTCTGCCTAGCTCTGGGTAGAACATTGGCAAGCACAAAGAATGATGCCAGTGTGGACTCCCCAACTTGTAGGTGTCATTTAAGAATGTCAATATATCCAACCAAATAAATAACCTCTCTTCTAGGATAAGTTAGACTGCATTCCTTTTTAAACACAAAGCACATTTTGGGCCTACAGGCTGTAAATTTCAATCCAAAACATTTTAACTAAAAGTTCATTCATTTTTTTAGGGAGTGCTCGGGATCAAAACCAGAGCCTTGCATATACTAGGCAAGTGTTCTACCACTTAGTTACATCTACAGCCCCTTAAACTAAAAGTTTAATAGGAAACTATATGACCCTTTATCATTCCATTAACACATAGCTTATGAGATTTTTGCCTAATTATGAATCAAGTAATACTGTCCTACTCACCCTCAAAGTGTGGGAGCAATTGAGAGAGAAATAAAATCTTGAGTAAAAAAAAATTAGCTATAACTTGGAGCAACACAAATTTAAGGTCATTTAAAATTTCCCTTTTTCCCTAATGAGTGCAAAAACCACATCAAATTTGAGAACTGGATTAAGTATTAATGATTTATAATTGCCAGTCACTGATTATTAGGTCATCTCATTAGGAACCCAAGGAAATTGTCTCTCATCTTGTTATTTGCAGCTTTCCCAGCAACCCTCAAAAGGCTATGACATTACACTTTTATAAGTCATGGGGCTGTGATCTGGAATTTCAGAGTAATCAGCACAAATCTTCCTTGGATCTCCAAGAATAGGCTCTTTTCAAATATTAATGAAATGGCTCAGGGATTTAGCTCAGTGGTTCCACTGCCTGCCTCGAAAGCACAAGGTCCCGAGTTTGATCCCCGGTACCAAGAAAAGAACAACAACAACAACAAATATTAATGAAACAAAAAAGTGGCAAAAAGTTACCTCCAATGTCAGCTTTAATATCATGAGTTAAAGCAGTCAACAATGATCATAATCTTCTTTAGTTTGAGGTTGAGACCCTGAGTGTAACAGAGGAGGGGGGCTTCTGACATTGTCAGGTGTTCCTCAGAGGCAGTTCCAAAGAGCTGTGGCAAAGTGCAAGCAAAAAACAAAACTTCACAGCCTTGAGATAGAGTGGAAATCTACAGGACTGAATGTGTAAGTCATTTGTGATGCTCATCAAATTTGTGGCCACTTCATCTCTCAGTGCCTTCATTTGACAAGATAACAAAATATTTACAAATTGGTGCTGGAAAGTCTGAAGATTATCACTGATTACAATTGAACATCAATATAACCCTTCACTGATTCTTATGGGGGGGGTCCTTGCTACTCAAAGTACAATGGAATAATGTCTTTAGCATCACCTGTGAGGTTAAAACCTATTGTATTAGAATTAGCATCTGCTTTTAATAATATCTCCAGCTGATTTTTATACACATTTGAGTTTGAGACACAGCTGGACATGGTGGCTCACATCTATAATTCTTGCACTCTGGGAGGCAGAGGCAGGAGGATCGAAAAGTTCAAGTCCAACCTGGGGAGCTTAGTGACTTGTGAGACCTTGTCTCAAAATAAAAAATAAAGGGCTAGGGATGCAGCTCAATGAAAGCTCTGACTTCAATGCCCAGTAATAGGAAAAAAAAATTGAGACACCCTATTGGAAGAATCAGTACAAAGGTGTATTTAATAGGTGATATAGGATCGTGAATGAAAATGGAAATACTAATAAGGAGGATGCAATTTACTCCCCCCCCCCAAATTTGTATGATTATCTCCTCTGTTGGCTACATAAACAAGATTTCAATTGAAGTGTGGTCTTAAGTAGACAGCTCTCCTGTGTAACTTCTCTCTCTCGCTCGCTCGCTCTCTTTTTGGTCAGTCTGGGAATTGAACCCTGAACCTTGATACATGCTAGGCAAGTGCTCTGACAGTGAGCTATACCCCCTAACCCAAGTGCTCTGTGGGTCTAATACTCGGCCATACATACCTTGGTTTGATAGACATGGGCAAACTTACAGTTGCAAAAAGTTAAACCACGTTTATGGAAAAATTATCTTGATTGAAGATAAATTATAAGATTAAGTCTAGGATCACACATATTAAGTTATATGTGAACTGGCTGTACCAAATTTCTTTTCCTTGGCATAGAATTAGTCCAGTACTTAGTACTGGTGTGTCATCTAGTGATAATGCTTTAATCACTTAACAATTTTGAAGGTCTATTTTTATAAAAGGTCTACTGTTGAAGGTCTATTTTATAAAATATATGGACCTTTGATATAGTCAAATCTTAAATATTATGACCAGTAAAAATATCTAGATAGGTCTATCAAATTTTTGCACAAAATTTATCAAATAGATTTTTTGGCAAAATAAAGTGTATTACAGGTTTTTTTCACTCATTGTGAATAAATACAGATAGGCAGAATTTTTCAGATTCCACTGCGTTGGATGCAAAGACAATATGAAAACATTTGGAACTATGTAGACCCTCAAAAACTTTTCCATGACCATCAGAACAATAATTAACATTTCTCTGCATCTGCCACCTTACCCTCTTTATAAAATACATACATTAATATTGGGATACACTCCGCAGCTTGAAAGAGTTACATTTTGGCCAAGAACTACAGCAGAAGGGAATTTCCATTATTACTCAAAATGGGGAAGTATTACATGCCACCCAAGAATGAGGAATGTGACTACAATGTAATCAGTAAAAGGATATGACCACCGAAAGTTTTGGCAATGTCAAATCTTATGCATAGAACTTTTTCTGTGTGTACGGTGATAAGGATCAAAGCCAGGCCCTTGTGTGCCCTAAGCAAGTACTCTGCCTCTGAGCCCTACCCATCATTTCTATTATTTTAATCATACTGCTGTGTGCATGTTACCGATATTCAGAAGATAGACAATATTAGTGGGAAAACAAAAATTTATCAAAATCAGATGTCAAAAGTATGAACGTGAAAACCTAGAAAATGTATACACAGAATATAATATGCCCAGAAAAGAACTCAACATGTCATAAGTAAAACAAAGAGGAAACCGTGGTAGAATTTTCTACCTGCTTTTTGTTCTACTCAAATACGCATAAAGGCTGGTTGAAATGGCTGAACCCCACAGCTGAGGCAGTGCACCTGGACTGTCCGAGGCACACTGGGAACTGCCACACGGTCCTACCACAGGCACACAGGAACTGCTATCTATCAAATGTTTCTAGGAATTTTTGGCCCTTAAAGTATGCTGTTCTCAGAGTGAAGTTTTTGACACAAATACTTATTGAACAGTATCAGGACTGATATACACAGTGGTTCTTTGGACCCCTTTCCACAAAAATATACATTTTCTGACCATTTAAAATACACCTTAATAAAATAAGACACTTTTTTTTGGTACCGGGGATCAAACTTGGGTCCTTGTGCTTGTGCAGCAGGCAGCGAAACCACTGAGCTAAATCCCTGGCCCTAAGACACTTTTTTTTCAGTGTTGGGGTTTGAACTCGGGGCCTCACCCATGCTAAGTAAGTGCTCTATTACTGAGCCACCTCCTCAGCCCCTAAAACAGTTTTAAGTAAAAAAAAATACCTGCCTACCTATGTGTTACCCATTTCCTACAGAAGGGATTAAAAAAAAAAAACAAAACTACCCAACCTAAACCAGTAAACCTAAACTGCTCATGTATGCCCAGCACTGATTCTCATGCCAGAAACATTTTTCTTAAGTGAGTCAACTAGAATCATGGTTCTTTGGTCTTTGTTTTTTACCAGGTCACCCCTAATGAGTTGTTTTGAGACATTCAAGGGAGGAAAAAAAGCTGCAAACATTTGGAGCAATTATCAATAACCTTAATTCAAGAAAGGAAAGTCTTATGTGGGTATCAATCAGGGGAAAGTGCCATTGATGAGCAACTGGCTACAGTGGAGAGACTGTAGGAACAGATCCTCCTAACATAGGAGAGGAAACCTGCCTCTAATGTAGTACCACTGTTGTGTCATATCTTCCAGCTGCCCTGGTGGGACATGAGCAAGTGAAGCTTCAAACTGTGAAGGAAAAAGTCACTTATGTGCCAAGACATGCCAGAAAGAGGAGCACAGAAGAGGACCAGAGAACAGTTCAACATCTCCATCCCCTACCCCATCAAGATTTAAACCAGAAAATGGGTGAGCAAGAAGGCCTTGAGCAAGCTCCAAACTACAGCAACATGGACACATCCAGCTTGGGAAGTTCCTGATCTAAGCAGGGCCAGAAAGTGGCAGAACTTGCTGGGGAAATATTCTCCAGGAAGGCGAGAGCATACCCTAGGCTTGTGAGAGAGAACAGACGGGATCAGCAATAGTATACAAAATGATGACGACGATGATGATGATGATGATGATGATGATGATGATGATAATGGCATTGAAATGGCACAGTGGCATGATAAGATCTTGTCATTTTTAGGGGTCATAGGCCAGTAGTCCTCCCACCCCTGAGGCCTCAGTTCTGTGCTTTCTGAGGTGAGGAGGCCTGAGTGGGGTGCAGAGCCTCACCTTCAAGATGGGAGCCAGGAAGACAGAGATTCCCGTCAGGATGAAGACAATGATGCCAGTCACTCTCTGTTCCCTGGCAGAGAAGAGCGCATTGTCAGGAGTGACCTGGAGACATACAATAACCAATCCCAGCCTCCTGCCCTTCTGTGGGCCCTGAAGGTTATGTCCTAGGCCATGGCTTCAAAGGGCTTCTGCATCAGTCTGAGCCCCAGCTGACTCACTCAGGGAAGACAAGTGCCTCTGATAGAGGGCAAGGCATTTTATAGGGGCATTGGGAAGGTTGTCCAGAGTAGGATCTTCAGGAAGGGGGCCTCGCTGCTGGCAGAATAGGGGTCAGTGGTTAGGCAGGCACGTTTTCCGAGTGCCAGGCCCATCACAACACAGGTTGAAGCCCTGGGCTCTGGATCAGATTGCTTAGACCCAGGAGCTCAAGGGACTACCCATTCCTGGGCCCTGTAGTCAGGCAGAGAAGTCTCCCTCAGGGCTGGACAACAACCAGTTGTCCCAAGGCAGTGGAAAGACACCTGCTGGGCAGTTCTTTAGGGGGATGCCTGGGTCTGGTGTGGGCTAAGGAGCCTTACGAAGTAAGATGTGCTTCCCTTCCCGAAAGAGCTTGGGAACCTGACACTGGCATGAGAAGAGCAGCAAGGGAAAGAACAGAAGTGATAGACCAGGGCCATAGTCCAGAGAGTAGGGGTGGGCCCAGGAAGTCTTTCTGGAGGAATAGAGATTAAGCAGGACCTGAACCCACAGTGGCCTTCAGGGACTTCAGGGAGAGCACCTGGAGGAGCTTGAGGAGAGTCCAAGGGCAGGACAGGAAGAGACCCTATCATGCCTAGGTAGGTGAGAGCCTCTGGGCTCAGGTGTGTGCAAGTGTATTTATGAGTGTGTGTGTGTGTGCGTGTGTGTACTGCTTAGAGACTACAAAGACAAATGTACCACTTAGAGCAGAATCTTCCTCTCTCCTTTTCAGTCAGGATGTCATTCCTTTCTCTGTGAGTTCTGGGATGTCACAGAAGGGCCCCTTTCTACTGAAACTCCTTGATGGTAAGAAAAGCAGATTTCCCCTCTCCCACTCATGTTCAGGTGATCCAGGCCCTGACCCCTCCTACCTGACCCCCAGGAACTGGGGCTGCTCCCCGGGGGCGCTGGTCTCCGTCTCCATCTTGAGGCTGTCAATGTGGGCAATGGAGATGACTGTGGCAGCCACGTACCAGGGGAGCCCCGTGAAGGAGCACAGGGCCATGAGGATGCCCACCCAGAACAGGTCCAGATGGTAGCCGGCAGCCTTCTGCAGGGACAGTGGGACAGAGAAGCTTCTGGAAGTCTGTTCTTCCTCAGAGCAGCCATTTTGTGGAACATGGTTCAACCCCTATACCCCCTTCTGGAGTGTACTCTGAGAGGGCTGCCACCCTGAGCTGCTCCCTGTGAGGATTTCAGAGCTGTTCAGATCTTATCATCCCCAGAGGTGGCTTGTTGCCACTTTGTCTCAAGAGGTCATCCAGGTAATCAACACGGGTAATGGAGGAGAGGAATGTTGATGCTTGGAAACACCTTAGGTTTGGATTCCTGAGGAGAAGGGCTCCTGCCCAGTGGCCATAGTGCCTCTGAAATTTCTGAAAGAGGAGCTTGAGCTTGGGCAGGCCTTACATGTAGCCTAGAGTGGGGGTGATGGAAGGGGTAGCCTGAATCTTTTCAGACCCAGAAGCAGGAGGGGAGTTTCAGGGCAGGTTCTTTGGCCTCATCATTTCAGGCCTATTCCTCTGTCAGTATTTGCTTAGACTCCCAAGTTCACTTTCAGTAGGCGCAGAGGTGGAGGGTTACTTTGAGAGGCAAGAGGCCTGTGCCCAGGGGCCCAACCTGGTCTCAGTCTTGGTCCTTAGTCACATCAAGTCACCCCCCCCCCAACACACCAAGTGGGAACTAGTTTTCTGCTCAGGGTATTGAAAGAACATCTCCCTCCTTAAATCTGACTTTGATCTTAACCACCCTCACCTTCAGTTTGTTCTCCTTCCTGTTGACAATGACGGCTGTGATCTGCTGGTCCATGAAGATCAGGATGGTCACCAGCAGAGCGGGCAGGATGCTCGCCAGGTACACCCACCATGGGTTCTTCCCAAAGGGGGCCACGAACCAGCCTCGGTCAGGCCTCGTGGGCTGAGCAGAGTAAATGAAGAGGGTGCTTTCCTCTCTCCCTTGTTCCAGCACTTGGCGGCTGGCCACTCTCCCATTTTGTCACCTTCCCCCACCTGGAGGTACTTTTGTTTATTTATTTGCAGTACGGGGATCGAACTCAGGACCTTGCACTTTCGAGGCAGGCACCGTGCCACTGAGCTAAATCCCTGGCCCTGGAAGTACTTTTAAAGTACACTATTTTCCCTAAAAGATATTAGGCACCTGCAACTTTAGAGACCAGAGGCATCAGATAGGAGAAGGAGTGTGAATATAGGTGGGATCTGCAGAACGAAGGAGATAATTTGCTGCAGCTGCCCTGGGATTGGTTGGGACACAGGGAGGAGATCAGAGAGGGCAGCTGGGAAAGAAGGTAGTCACTAATTACAAAACAACAAAAAGCAGAAATGAGCCTCTACAGGCAAGAGTAAAGCATTGGATGGGCCCAGGGCTTGACACGCCTGCCTCTCCTGAGTTACCTGAGTGGGAAGCATTCTGGAATTGTAAAACACCAGGCATCAATTCAGACCAGCACTTTGAAAATAAGGGGTTATTTGTGAAGGAGCTGATGATTATCTGTTGTTTGTTTAGGAGAAAGAGGTTCTTTTGAGGGCAAACGAGTTGTATGTGTTTTCACTACTCAGAAAATCCCTGAAATAATATCTTGAAGGTCAAGACCTCAAAATCAAGGAGGGTAGTTGTAGATTAGAACCTGGACTCTTGACCCTGGTTAGATGGTTGGTGCATCTGTGAGGGAACTGGGCTTGAGCTTATCCACAAGGAAATGGCACCAACTTTAAACTAATGGGTGCTTCAGAAACCACTCAGCTTTGAGTATGCCCAGAATCACCTGGAAGACTTGTAAAACTGCAGATTGACACTCCTACCCCCAGTTTTCAGATTCTACAGGTGTAAGAGATTGAGAATTTGCATTTCTAACAAGTTAGCAAGTGACCATGTGATGCTAGTCCAGAGGCCACACTTTGAGACTCACTTCTCCAAGGGATCATTTTCAACAGATTCCAGTTGGCCAAGCTTGTAGACTGCCATAAGTTAGGGAATTGGAACACTCAGAAAGAAGAGGCTTCAGCTGGCACCTTCCTCCTTCCAGGAGTGCACCGTGACTATGTCCCTATCCCCCTTCAAAGGAACTCCTTGGAAAACTACACGGGAAGGGGTGGCATGCACACACACAACCAATAAGGTCTAGGTTGAGAAAAGAAAGTTTGATGAGCATAGAGGACTAAATGCTACAGCTAGTGAGCAGGCAGGGCAAGTGTCCCGAGGAGGGGCAAGGGGCAAACCTTGATAACATTGGGCACATGCAGCTTGGGTGTTTCCAGGCCAAAACAGGCATCTATTCCACAGAACAGCAGGATGGAGAAAATGATGGAAAAGTCAGCCACCAAGGCCCGGACCTGCAGAAAGGAGAGGAGTGAGTGAGCAAAATATCTACTCTGACCCAGTCCTCAGGCAGCAGAGAACAGTTAAGGGCTTCGTTGAAGTCAGCAGGCCTGTGCTCACTCAAGTCCTTGCAGCTGTGTGGACTTGGGGAGGCGTGTTATTTCTCTAACCTCACTTTCTTCCTCTATAAGATGGAGATGATGATGGTACTATATCAAGAGCGAGTGAGCTATGGTGCATTTAAAGTGCCTAGCATGGGGTAGTCAGCCTGGAGGTGTGATCCATGTGGCCATGTTCTGGAATAAGACACTGAGCTGGGTCACTCAGCAGGTGTGAGGGGAAGGGCTGAAGTCAGAAGAAACCCTAGGTCCTGTCTTGGAGAGAAAGCCGACTGTTCATGGGGTGGGGAGGGGGAAGCATGCAGAGAAGGATATGTTCTTTCCTGTTAAGTGAATTCAGATTGTCTAGCCATTGTTCCAAATGCACATTTTGTTAATATTGTTGGTATTACCTCAAAGAACTAGGACTAGAGATCCCATTTGACCCAGCTATTCCCCTGCTGGGTATCTTCTCCAAAGAATTAAAAGAATCATACCACAGCGATATATGTGCACCCATGTTTACAGCGGCACAGTTTGTAATAGCTAAAGCTTGGAAACAGCCCAGTTGCCCATCAACTGGAGACTGGATAAAGAAGATGTGGGTTTTTTTTTTTTATAAAATGGAGTACTACTCAGCCATAAAGAACGAGAAACTAGAGTCATTTATAGCTAAATGGATGCATATCGAGGA